TTTCATATATTTTTATATAACATTTACGTCCTGAAATTCCTATAAAGATCTCTCATAATAAATTCCAAAAGAATGCATTGCCAATGTTTTGGTAAGTTAATAAAGTTCGACGTCAACTTTTACTTTTCACAAGAAATATGGCTCATCTGAAATTCGCATACACACACATACAGATATGGTCATAAAAGTGTGATGTATGTGTGTGTGTGTGTGGGTAGCACACAATTTTAATTAACTTTATCAGGGTCAGTCGAGGTTTATTTTCTATTTTTTTTTATCGCCGCAATGTTGCGAAAAATGATGGACGTCATGTTCGGTTTAAAGATTGATTAGTATTACTGTGATTTATGCTAGCTTGCACAAACACAGACACACATGCAGGCACACACATGGTGCATACACGCTCTTCTGCTCACATGTATCAAAAACTTTGGCGTTCAATCTATGCTTGGGCAAAAGTATTGGGTGTGGCAAAGGTGGGGGTTGGGCATCGGAACTGCTGCTGCTCCTGCCGCTGCGTAGGTGCCTCAAGCTATGCCACAACAGCAACCAAATCGAGTTACCTTATTGTACGTCTAAAACGCTTCGGATCAATGGTCATTCATCATTGTCACGCCATGGGCGACTGCTAGCAGTATACACACACACACACACTTAGTGGCCCTGCCTGGATGCGTAGAGGTGTCTAGGGCGTAGGTCAAGTGGCACGGCTGGTTACTGGCTGCCTGCCCATTACCTGCATCATCGCCAGCCGCCTGTCATCTGCCTGGCCCCAGTCCAACAAAACTGACCCCAACTGCCTCAACTGGCTGCCTCTCTGCCTGTTGGCCGTTGGCTGTTTGATTTTTCGACCACTTTGACGCTCGTTGTTATTGTCTTTACGGGCAAAAAAAAAAAGGAATGGCAAGTAGCCCCAACGGTGCGTTACGCCCCCTTTTCTGCATTTGATGTGACATCAGCGACGCGCACTTTGTCAATTCGCCCGTGATAAAGTGCTTTAAACTCGAAATGCATTCAACTTTAAACTCGACTCGACTCGAGCTGCTGCATATCTAGTCTCTTGCAGTAATATTAGCCGGGGTTTAATGAAAGACTTTCCTATAACTGATCTTGTATTTTTAGTATTATATGTACTTACATATATGTATTTCTTTATTTGGTTTACATTGCTGATACCTACAGCATGTACTGATGTATATTAGCATTATTGTTGATGAAAATTGAAACGTAGTTGAAAAACATATTTTATCTTTGATATTCAAAGTTTTTTAATGCTGAAGAATTACAAAAAAATGTTTAAAATAATATTTTAACAATGATTTAAGAAAGGTTAATTTTTAAATAAAACTAAATGTATATATATA